AACCAGAAGCATCCAGACAAAGTTAGTTCTCATGCACTTTCCAGCCTGTTTTTGTAGATCCTAAAGTTCCAGACAAGCACCAAAACTTCTTGATGTTTCTCTGAGCTCTCAACCCTTTCTGAGTCACCCCATCACTAGCTAGATGTGTAGCTGTACTATCTGGGGTGGGTGAGTCTTTCTGGAAAAGCCCTAAACCCACAGACGGCTCTAGTTATTTTGCTGCCCCAAGCACTGCAGTCAGATGGCTTTCGGCGGCATGCCTGCGGGAGGTCCGCTGGTAACGCGGATTCGGTGGCATGCCTGCGGGAGGCCAGTCCCACACCTTCGGCATACCCGCCACCGAATTGCCGCTGAAACCGTGGGACCAGCGGACCTCCCGCAGGCATGCCGCTGAAGGCAGCCTGACTGCCACCCTCATGGCGATTGGCAGGCCACCCCCCATGGCTTGCCGCCCCAGGCATGCGCTTGGTGCGCTAGTGCCTTGAGCCGCCCCTGCCTAGACCCCATCAAAATGATAAGCACTGAGAAAAGTTGTGTGGCACATGTTGTGTAAAGTGAAAGTCTGGATGTAACCAAAACAGCTGCTCAAACTCTGTTGATCTAAATACCAGGCTGGAAATCTGTAATGGGAGCAAGATTTCCTTGTGGCTAGAAGGATCATGGGAGGGAGGTAATTCTCACTAGATTTCTGATCTGCCTGGGAACAAGAACTACAAAGGGAGCACCAAAGCAAGTTTCCCCTGTCATGTGCTCCCCCAGAAAAAAATAAAAAAGCAAGCAAACAGAAAGTTACCCCTACTTTTTCTGATTTCAGAAGACATTTGTGCCAGGTATTCTCTTAGATAAGCTGGTTTGCCCATCTCTTGGTTTTATATTACTCAAACCTATACAGACACATCCAGGCTGGGACAGTCTATGTCATGAACAAAAGAACTTCAATCCCAGACAGCCCAGCTTAAGTGCTGAAGAAGTATACCAGTTAAGGAAATCCCTTATGCAGAGAGGTGCGGGCAGAACAGCCTTCAGTACACAGAGTGCACACACGGAGGGGCTGTCCCTTCCATTCTTGTGTTGAGACTGACCCTTAAAAAGCTGCAGAGGGCTGCTAGACAATTTCTTCTGTTGCGCTCTTGCTGCTTGGCTGATAGTTTCTTGTCATTGGCCAGAGAGACTGAGCATTTTAAGAGAAACAGACTCACATAGTGTGGTTGCTATGATAAATGATTCCCTTGGCTCCATAAAAATATTTATGGTCCCTAACTAGCAATTTAAAAATAAAAAATTCTTTACTTCTTTTTTTAATTGTTACAAGCCTGCCAAGCTCTGTGGTTTCTCTGCTTTGCACAAGTCTTGGCCTACACTGAGAAACTAAACCCAGGAACTACATTTCCCAGGGTCCCCTAGTGATTAGCTAAGAAATGCCGGGAAGTGGTGTAGTTTGAGAAACATGGGATTAGTCAGGATGAGTCATAATGAAACGTTTGCTCTACTGAGATGGGCTTTTGGTACATTATATTTATAACCTTCCTGCAGTCACTTCATTTCCACACTTGCGTGTTTGAAATGCAGCACAGTCTGCTGTATGCCCAGAGGGTTATGAAGATGACAAAGCAAGGGGCTGCACAGGGCAGGTGTCCATACAGCCTTGTCTTCTGTTGGCTGCCACCTGTTTCCAAGTCATCAAACTCCATCATGCATCAACATAACTTCACAGCATGAGTGAGCCATGACTTCGCTTTGGGAGGCTCCAGACACATTCAGGAATCTCTAGTTCTCCTACAAGTCAAGAGAAACCTGTGAAAATTGTGAATGTCCAGTGAATTTTAGGGCAGGCAACCACTAGATGCATGCAAACTATTCACAACCGAAAGGTGAAACTGCTTGAAATTTGATTTTTTTCACATTTCATTGCGAGCTTGAAAATGTGATGAAAAATGGATTTTTCCCCTCTTAATAATGGATCCCTTTACCCATGTAAACAAACCTATTTTGAGGAAAATGTAGCTTCCATTTTTTTTTGGAGGGGAGGCCTGGTTTTGATTGACAACAGCTACTTTGTCCCGTTTCATTGCAAAGCAAAATCTGAGACACAAAGAACCACCTGAGACAACAGTGAACATTTCAGGGGGAGATGTTGCAATCCGATCTCCCCACGTAGTTCTGTAACAGGGTGGCCACCTCCACAGTGCCCTCTCATGGCCTGGGGTGGCTCTGCAGCAGCCCTGTCTCAGTTTCTCATTTTCAGCCTGCTTCAGCAGCTGCCGGAGGGGCTTGCTATTGTAACTTGGGCCTCTGGCTAAAGCCTTAACACAAGTCCTTCCCTTCCTGGGAAATAGAGTTCCTTTGTTTGTTTTTGAAATTGGACAAAGTCTTTGCCCCAGTCTCAAACTAGTCCATGACCTCCTTCCCAAGGGGTTGGTCTTCTCTCTAATTCTTCTGCCCACCCTCTCAGCTTGGCTTTCAGCCCTTCCCTAGCTCCTCCTTTTCCATATTTCCTCTCAGCCCCTCCTGGGCTTCTCTGAGTTGCTGCCTGCTCTTTCCTGAAGAGCCACCCCCTAATGCCTGCTTATCTGGGGTCTTTCACAGGCCTCTGCCTGCCTTGTCTTTTCTTCTGGCCCTCACAACCTTTCTGCAGCCATCTGCTACCAACACTTCCCTTTTTCCACAGGCCGCTCGGCTAGGTCAGGTTGAGTTACATGACTCACAGGTCACATGACCTTCATTTTTCCCACCTGGGGAGGAGAGCCGGCTGTGTCACAGATGGGGTGGAGACCCATCTCCCTTTAAAAAGGCCAGTCCCCAGTGGGTAGGATCCCCTCACTCTGGGACCCATTTGGGGATCACTCTTTTGGCTATGGCATTCATACTGATTTAAGGAACGGTCTACTGAAGAATGTCTCAGCACCTTGCATGTCACTTTCTGTAGGAAGGAAGAATCTCCACTGATTTCAGTAGTAGCTCATGAACAATGTTCCCACAGAACAGAGCTCTCCAAGAAATTACAGTGTCCCCATCGAAGCAGGACACTCAAGGGTTCTACCCTGAGAATATTTGTGCAAAACAACTGTTTTTTCCATCAATATTAATAACCTGTAATGAAGTGTATTTTTGCCATTTTCCACCAGCAACTACAACTTTTCACAAGGAAATCCCACCGTGTTGTCACGAATCCACCACAAGTGGAAATTTATCATTTTCACAGCAGCAACAGTTTCATGTTTTTGTGGAAAAATTCAACCTCAGGAGCTACTGATAGCTCATCTCAATTGATTGGCCTCTTACAATTGGTATGCGTACTTCCACCTTTTCATGTTCTCTGTATGTATAAATATCTTCTGTGTGTGTGTTTCACTCTATGCATCTGAAGAAGTGGGCTGTAGCCCACAAAAGCTTATGCTGAAATAAATTTGCTAGTCTCTAAGGTGCCACAAGTACTCCTGTTCTTTTTGCGGATACAGACTAACACGGCTGCTACTTTGAAACCTGTGGTTGATATGTGATTTTTTTTCACTCTATGTGCAAAGTTATTTGCACGACTCTTTTCATACAAGAGAGGTTGTGGTATATGCAGAATAAAAGCCTTCCTGATGAGGCAATCTCAGCACAGCTCCTGCTGGGTTTGGCTCTAGAGAAACTCATTTGGTAGAGCCACTACTGGCAGTTGGAGGACTCCTAACTGGGCAAGTCCATTTGATAGTATCTGGCCAGCAGGTAACAGGAACATATGTAGGCAAGTAAACCAGTTACTCTGGTAGTTTCAAATGAATTTACTAGTACTTATTATGAAGATAAAGAGATAAGAGAGTTCAAATCCACATCTGGACTCAAACTTTCAGGTTGTTTAGATCTGGTTCATATTTTGAACTAATAGCAAATATCCAGTCCCAGACATAGGCCTTGTATAAAACCCAGGATGGAATGATCTGGTGGGGGAAGCAACCCCCATTTTCAGTCTAGGAGCAAAGAAAGAAATCTTCCTGGGAGTTCACAATGGCCACACTGCAATGCTTAGTGTCTCTTCCCCATCCCTTTTAAAACCAGTAGCTTCCAACAAACAGTATTGCAGTACTGGAATGGAGCTGCGGCATGGAAGGCATTAACTAGAGCTCAGTCTATGGTATCAAAGTCTCTTTGACACCAGTCATCAATTCAGAACTAAGCTAATAGAGATTGTGCGTCTCAGGGTGAATTAATGAGTCATTGTTCGTGAGCTGGTGCAGTTTCCTCAAAGCACAAACATCTTTCAGCTGAGCGCTGGGTGAGTTCCCTTTCCCGGAGTGCCCATGAGAATTGTGGGATGCGATTAATTATTGCCAAGTGCTTAGATAACAAGAGTTAGAAAGCAGCTCAGCATTCTCATAATGCACAATAGATGGGCACCTTCCTTCCCAAGCCAATGTTAATGCTGGTGAATGGGGCGGGATCAGCTGCCCTGGATGTCACTCTCCTCTGTGGAGCCACAGAAGTGGTACAACACAGACCATACACGTTTCCGGCACATGAACACACAGTGCCTCAGCCAACGTAGGCCTCTCAGGGCCCACAATAAGGGCAGAAGGGGATTTTACTCTGTACGGCCAATTCAGCACTGAGTCTCTGTACTGAGCCCAGCAGCCTTTAAAAACAAGGGAACAAAAACAACCTTTGTGGCAAATTTACATTTCTCAAGACATTTGCAGAGGACCTGTGATTTTCCCCTCCCCTCTCCATTTCCATTCACTCCAGCACCCACAAAGTTGCTAACTGCTCCTTCTGGAGCCTGTCAACTCTCCTCCCTGTTTTGTCCAGAGGGGATGGGCTGCTCCCCATAGAATTAGGAGCCCCAAACCTTGACCCTCATTCACTTCAAAACATGCTATGGTCCAAGAGATCATCAAGTCCCTTCATCAGCTCTTGGGGTAGGAAGGAAGGTCTTGTAGTTAAGGTGCAGGCTTGGAATCAGGAGATCGGGATTCTATCCTTGTTTCTGCCACAGACGCCACATGTAACCTTGTGCAAAGCACTTAAACGTTTTTTTCTGTCTTTTGCCTGTCTTGTCTATTTAGATCATAAGGGTAGGGCCTGTCTCCATATATATGTACAGTAGCTAGCATAATGGGTCCCGGATCTTGACTGGGGAATCAAGGTGCTACTGTGATACAAATAATAAACCATTTCTATGCCCCAGCTTCCCCATTTGTAAAATAGAGATACCACCTCCTACAAGGTGGATTGATTGTGAGGCTTAATAAATTAGTATTTGTGGGGTGCTTAGAGACTGCAGGGATGAGCATAGAAATGCCAACAAATAAGTAAAACTAAAGATGATCCCATTAAACCAGCCTTGGTCTGGCTTGACTCTGGGTTCTGAGGGTAGGATTAAAACCCATAAGTTACTCCCCACAGCAATGAGCAGAGAGGAAGTGCCCAGTAGCGGCTTGGGGAACCCACCAGCTCTGAGGGAGATGGCTCAAACATGTTCCTCTCCCTTTTAGTGAGGAACATCAACTTATGGGGCACATTTTGTCACAGCAAACAACCGTCCCAGCTACCCTCCAACTGACGGCACCACAATCTCTGGGATCCATGGAGAGCTCACTAAGTCAAAACACGAACACTGACAAATGCTCCCATAGGAACATCCTGCCCCCTACACCTCCCCAAACTATTCCACATTCCCCAAAATAGCATCTTTTACCCACCTCACTGCCCAGCCCTTCAATTTTATTAGCACAGCTGCCTCCACTCCTAACCAGAGGGCAGGATAAGCCTGTGGTTACTGTGCACTAAACAGAAACACCTGTGCCTCTCATTTTTTAAAAATATATGTATTGTTGTTATTTCTTTTCTTCAGCGCACTAAGTCCCATGTTCTAAAAAGGAAAATAAATCCCCACTCTTACATTCTCTCCCACACCCCCACGTGGCCCTGACAGACAAGCACAGACGGTGCAGCAAATATTTCACTTCGTTTTATTTTAAAGAAAAGGAGAGAGAGTGAATTCTTGTGGCATTCCAGAGGTCCCCAGACACTCATTCCAAATGCCTGAGTTGGGCCCCGGGTGAGTTTCAGTCTAAAAAAGAACGTGGGTTTCTAGGCAGCTATCCAAATTCAACACAGACACTTTTTTTATCTGTGGAAAAAAAACACCCAAAAGAGAAGGGAAGAAAAAAAATCCAGCAGGAGGGGGAGAAGCAGAGGGGTGGGAGTGGCTGCAGGGGTGGCAGAAAAGGGGCGAGCTGTGCAACAGTCAATTTGAATTCTTTTCCGTTTCTCACTGCCCCGTCTCTTAGGAATTCTCCCACCAAGAGGGAGAGTAAAGGCAATAAGCTGCAAGTCTAACTGTGAGAGGGGCAGAGGTGGGTTCACGTACAGCCATGACGACATGAGTGATGACAGTGACGGGCTGCTGTCTCCTCTGAGAGGCTGCCCCTGCCAGAGTAACGTAGGCTAATTTAGAAGTCAACTCCGCAACATCTGCCCTATGCTCTGCCCACAACATGCTATCTGGTCACACAATAGGGATGCTCTTGTTCCCTGATGGGAGTCTGTAGAACTAGCTCTAGGTGTTAGCCAAGGAGACACCTGGTTCTGGTTTATGTCATGAGATCCACTGTGGCTGCTCTCGTAGTTATAGATACACCTGGATCTGATGCAGGAAAGTCTAGGCTGTGCCTTGCTCATGATAATGCAGGCCATTGGGATGAGGTTCATTGCGGAAGAGAGACACGAAGGCATCAACTTCTCACACCCTGAACGTCTCCCCACTGGCACCAGCCAACCCGCAGTAATGCCTGACTAGGGCAGATGGGGTGCTGCAGTGTCTTACCTCGCTCAGTTTGGCCCAGTTGAAGGATTTCAGTGGGTGGGAAGGCTGTGGGATAGATTTCTTCCTCAGGCTGGTCCCGCTGCTGCTGAAGGTGGTTGTGGGAGGGGGCATCATCCCCATGCTGAAAAAAGGAGGGGCTCCAGGTGGGGGAGGTGGCCCTCCTGGTGGAGGTGGCGGAGCAGGTGGAGGGGGACAGAATGGGAGTGGAGGTGGCAGCGGGGGCAAACACTCCATCATCAGAGAGGAGGGCAAAGCTAATGGGCCCCCAGGAGGGGGTGGCGGAGTGGGTGTGAAGGAAATGCCACCTCCTTGCTGGAAAACAAAAGAATAAGCAAAGGATGTTTAAAATGTACAGTAACTCCATGTTGCCAACTGTTGTGATTCTCTCTCACAATATTTGGTGTTTTTCTTAAAGCCCCAGATTGCAGAGTTTTGTGATAAGGGAGAATCTCAGCTTTCATTTGAAAGTCAAAAAGTAAGTTTCTAGCCCTTGTGGTAACAGAAAAGAACTTGAAAATATGACCCTTAAAATGCTCAAAAACACAGAGCCAGTATAGAAGGCAAAATGTATTTTTCTTCTGATCCCATGAATTTTGGGGCGCTTACTCATAATTTTTGAAATAATGAATACGTGCCAACTAACCTCACTAGCACAAAGACAGGAGGGAAGCCCCCATCCATAGTGACTAGCTTCTAAGGGCTGCATTTGGGCTCCCGGAGGCTGAGGCACGCTGGGAGTGAGGAAGGCGCTGCACCAGGCAGGAGGTAGCTACTGGAAAGGTTAGGCCTGCAGAGTGCAGAAGCAGCCGCAGACCCTCCAGAGGCGCCACAAGGAGCATTTGTCACCTCCATTTCCTATACCTGTATAACTGGTGACGTTTGCATTCCTCCACCATCTCTGGGGGTGAGGGGCAAACACGCTCCATTTGGGGGTTTCAACACAAATTATGGACATCTGCCACATTGTGGGAAGGGACATGCACCCCTCAGCTTTTTGTGCATGGTTAAATGAAGAGGGCGATTACAAAAAAAGAATGGGACAGACTATCTATAGACATGTGGGCATTGACCCCTGTATATTTTACCAGGGCACATACCCTGGACCCTAATGCAGGTCTATGCAGCCTTTATGCTGCAATCAGAGGTGTGATTGCGTCATGGGCTGGCATATCTGTGCTAGCTTCAATTAAGCGAGAACAGCTACAAATAGCTCTGGCGATGCAGCAGCACAGGCTAGCAATGCAAGTACGCACCCAAGAGTCTCAGTGTGCTTGTACAAACTATGCTGAAGCCCATGCTACCATGCCTTCACTGCTATTTTTAGCCATGCTAGCATGGGTAAAGCTAGTGCAGGTACGTCTATCCATGCTGCAATCAGACTTCCGATTGCAGCGCAGACCTATCCTAAGCCTCCAGCTTTGCAGCTATATACTCAGACTCCCTTGGTATGGGGGGCAGACACAATTCATCGTTATTGTGCCTTTGCGCATTATTCATTCGCTTCTGTGGGTTAAAGGATGAGAAGAAAAGTCTCAGCCTCATACCGAGAACTCATTGAATTGAGCTACCAGGTCTGTCATTTGGTCCCGGGTCTGGCGCAGTTCCAAGGATTCTTTCTGCAGCTTGTCCTTCATCTTGTTCAATGTTTTCATCATTTCATCTTTCTCTTGGGTCTTTATCTCACATTCTCTTTCCTTCTTTTCCAGTCTGCTCATCAGCTCTGTGTGTTCTACAGAGAGAATGAGGAAGCATGACTGATTAAACAAAACCCATGAAAGCTCTAAGGAGATGTAAGCTAGATTGAGATAAATAATGCAAACTGGTGCTGGTGGGGAGTTATAACCAGGAGCAATGGGATGAAACTGGGCCAAGGAATATGTAGACTGATTTTCAGCATGTATTACTTGACAGAGGCTTCTTCGGCTGTCGAAAAATCACCTATGAAAATTTGTGGAAGCCCCATCACTTGAGCCGTTTAAACTAGACTAGAGAAGGCATTGGGAAATATACTACTAGGACCAAACAAGCATTGTCCCATGGGGATATGGACCGGAGGATCAAAAAGGTCATCTCTATCTCTACTGTCTATCATTGTGTGGTTAAATCAGGACATCTCCCTCAGTTCTTCAAACAGAGAGAGACCACATACCTTTTCTGAATTTCTCCGCCTGATCCCTCCACTGTTTCACTTCATTCTCATTCACCAGCCTGAAAGATGAAACCAGATTATTTATGGTCTATTCTGAGCCATCCAGCCCTGTGGGCAACTAGCCACAATGAAAGATGACTGGAAAAGACAACTTGCTGAATTGTAGTATTACCATACTGGATCAGATCACTGGCCTATCTAGTTCAGTATCCTGCTCCCCACAGTAGCCAATACCTGATGATGATATAATTGGCCCTTAATGTGTCTGCATTATTATTTAATGCTATACATGGGGTGGGGGGGATCCTTCCTGATCCCTTTTGTGGTAAGTGGATGTCCTGACAGTATGACATCTATTTACTTTTATCACAGCCCTCGTGGCTAAAATTACTACTACTGCTGGTCACAAATTATCCTGACCCTTTTTTAAGTTGTAGGTGGCCTTTTTATTTCACTTTTGCAGTTGTGTGTTTGTTTCTTGGAGAGAGGCTGGCTACATTTTAGATAATATATCAATTGCCAGACAATGTCAATACCTCAGACCGCCATGGCCATTTCTCACTAGTGAAAGAAAATACTCAGGAGAAGGAGTGATTGTATAGGCAACAGAAGGAGCAACTATGAAAAAAAGACCAGGTGCAAGGTCTACAATGAGGTCCCATGTTGGGATGGAGAGAAGGAAGTCAACTACAGTGTATTTTTCAAAACAGCTAATGAGAAATTAGCTCTGGCTCACAGAAGGCACTGTATAATTTTTAATAGAATAGAATTTAGTTCTATATAGGAGTTTATACTCAAAGTATTGCAAAGCACTTTACAGTGTCTAGACCAGAGGTTTTCCACCCGTAGCTCATGGGCCGTGAGTGGCCCCCAGAGGTCACTGCAAAATCGAATGGTTTGGCAGTGGAAGGTACAGTGCAGCACAAGGAATGGGTGCACGGGAGGAGTTGAGTGGAGGGATGGCTCATGTGACCACCTCTCTCACATGAAGCAGCTCACAGAGTGAAATAACTGGAGAATCATTGGCCAAAACCGCATGTGGGTGAGGGAGGAAGCAGATATTTTATGGAGAGGTAAAAATTATTTATGCTATTTGGCTGCTGATTTTATGTTATTTGAAATCTTCCTGAATTAACCCAAAGCCATGGATGAAGAAGATCTAAGTAGAGCTGGTCAAGTTTAAGAAAATGTCAATGAAACTTTCATCAACACTTTGAAAAAAACAAAAAACAATTTTGTTAACATTTCATGACTTTTCTTCCTTGATTTTCCACCAGCTCTATAGCTAACAGAACTCAAAGAGCACAGGAAAGTAAAACATACCCTGGAAAATAAGGAACAGATTAAGCTACAGTTTGGAAAGCAATTAACTAGAAAATTTATAACAGCTTACAATAAAATATAATCTAGATGTAAGCTCCTCAGTGCAGGGACCTGGTATTTTTTTTAAGTGCCATTTACAACTAAAGTGCTGGATAACAGAATTAAGTAAGAATAATTAACACAATTTACATCTTAATGATGTTCTTGACATTGAAGTTGTCCAGTGGAGCTATATCTGGATCATCCCCTTTCTCATCCTGAAGAACGATTTGTTGTAGTATCCTGTCTAACAGCTGCCACTGCTGGAAATGTCCCCCATTCCGCTTATCTGCAGGGAGAAATACCAATGTACAAGGGTTACTATTAACATCTGAAGATGCTTGGAATCCCTGTATTCCCCAGACAACAGGCCAATGTTCCTCGCTTTCTTTCTACCCATCTTAACAAAATGAGGGGGGGGGAGACTTTGTCCCATCGCAGGTAAATTATAGAACATCGGTCCTGGTTCCGCATAGTCTTGCGCCTTATATTGTCATTTACACTTGAGCAACAAGGGTGTAAAATCCTATCAAATCAGACTAGTAGGAAAAGTGCATGCACAATCATGCACCTAATTTGCACATTCAAATTCCATGATTTCTACTGCAGATCAGGTAAGTGTGTGCAGAAATGCACCTACAGAGGTGTCTCCATAGGTCAGAGTTGTGACTTTGCTACTTGCTGGGGGCTGATTTTTTTGGGGGGGATGGGGGGTTGGTATCTAGATACCACAGTGCCCAGGCATTTTACAAATATTTATATTTACAATTTGCATGCTCAGCTATCTGTAATTCAATTCAATACAACTTTGTGGACATAAGCTATAAAAAAAGTTATCAATGTGTTTAAAAAAACAAAAGCCTGATCCCTCTGGTATGCATTGAAGGAGCCAGGATCCATCTTGGATAGGAATGCACACAGTGTACACACAACAGCAGGAAATGCACTGCAGGATTGGCCCAATGGATTTCAAAGTCTGGCCCTTTAAAAGCTGTTTTTACTAAATACTTCAAAACTGCTGAACTGTGCCTCTAACCCAACAACATTCCTATCAAGATTAGCCCTGCTCTGGTAGCACATTCTGGGCTCAACCTGAGCCCCAAAGCATATGTGCTGTCTTGTACCACATTAAAGAATTGACTGTCCTACAACTGCTAGGTGGGTGACTGTACTTTTAAATCCAGCAGGCGCCCAATAATGCTCTGCATGTAGCCTCTTGGATAGACATCAGGAGGGTTACCCCCACCTTCCTTGCTAAGCTCCTCAGTCTCATTGCTCAAGCCTGGGTGAAATTTACTAAAACCACTCCCCAGGACTCTTTCCTAAAAGGACTGGGTTAAACAGTTGTATAACGATCTTGCTAAAGGCTCTTTCCTGGCCACTACCCTTTGAAAGCATCAATCAGTAATTACCAATTGATTATTTAATCAAATAACTTTAAGAACCCATTCATATCATATCATACCCTCCAAAAAGAAAATGCTCATTTGGTTTTCTGGTTAGGGTCTGAGAGCCTGATGCATTGCCATGAGACAGCAGCCCAAAGACATGCTTATTGGGGGATTTCCCATCAATGGGCAACAAAGGTTTTATTTTATTTTATTTTTTAATTCCTTATTGCATTGTGATAAAATTCAAAATGGCACCCACTCCTGGGCGTTCCCAGACCCAGAGCATAAGAGTTCTGTCTCTCTCCTTTGAAACTTTTAATTTAAATGTAAACCCCCCAAAAGCTTGGTTTGTGACAAGTTGGGAGGCCCCCAGCTTCTTAATTTTGTTTGCAAGTGCAGAGAGTTAAGATGCCACTTGTTAGCTTGCAACCTTCCAAAATCCACTGGTTGGGGTCAGTGTCAAATCCTAGCTCCTTCACCCACAATGTCTGAACAAGCCTCTGCTGTATCAGAAAGTGCATTCCCTCCTGTGAGCCATTGGCCCTTTCTTATATCAAGGCTCCCCACTCCCCTCTGCCCCAGGAAGCAGGGATGTACTCACAAGGCATCTGCAAGCAATGCTGAAGGACTGATAGCAAATAGGGATAAGCGTCCGTGTGCTTCAATCTCTTCTTGATCATCTCGAACATCTGAGAGGCGCTTTTTGTATCAATGTGAATCTGGAGTAGGCAGAGAAATAACGTGAGAGAGGGGAAGAGAAACATACAGAGCGGGAGATGGATCCAGGAGTGAAAACTCTTTAAACAAGAGAGATGAGCAGACCGCAAAAAGCAGGAATCCCTTTGCGATGACCCAGCAGAGGGGCTTCAGTGAGAAGGGGGCTGGCAGATAGGGAGTCAGGTGGGCCTTTGGGATCAGCACTGCCACACCTGTTTGCAGTGGCAGTAAGGAACAATTCCCAAAAGGGTTGGGAGGCTGGAAAGGTGGGACGACATGCCTCTGACCTTGCTCCACCTACTCTTCCCCTCCTTACAACGTATGTGCCCCTCCCCCCACCCATCTCCTCTAAAATGCCACCCTGTCTCCACAACCGCCTAGGTGACAACCTTCAGAAACGTACCCTGGGTTTTGTTATTGGAAAACTCGGAGATGGGTCTGAGCCACCCCCAGAGCTGAACTCTCTCAAAGCGAGGGCATATTTGGATCCAGAATTTTGGTTCAGGCCCATGACTATTGAGAATGAGTTCCTGCCACCCCTGCCCTCTTTTGTCCCTGAAAACTCTGCACAATGCAGAGAGGAAAATGCCTTTGTCCAAGCCCTTTGGCAGGAGCCATGGCAGTGTTTAATGTTTTCATTGTTCACGTGTACTGTCCCCATTCTGTACATGAGAGACAGCAAAGAGCATTCATCATCCCTTTAGCAGCCATGGCTGTTCCTTGCTGACTGCTTGGGAAAGTCGCAGGCTTTTGCATTCAGCAGCCAAAGCAGATATTCAGCCTCTGGCAACTCACCACATCAAACCGCTTGGCAAGTTCCAGATCGTCCTCGTTTCTCACCATCTCAAAGAAATCTAAGTGCCTAGGAAAGAGGAAAACAAATCCAACCAACTCACATGACAACTCTCACCTGGACCAAAGCTGTGGCAGGGGAGAAGAGGAACTCCATTTCCTTACAGAGGGCTGTGATAATGGCAGGTTTGATGAGGCAACCCCTTCTCCCTCCTCCCCCCACCCCCAAATGATGGGACTGTCCGGACACCTTGTAATATTTACACCGTAAGGCTCAAAGGACAGGGCATTTAATGGGGCTTAATGACAAACTGGGAGGTGTGGATTGCCTGGGGTTCAACAAGTTGTTAATCCCCATTTAAGTCCCTATGTCAAGGTGATTGCTGCTTTTAGAGCCTAAAAATGAAAATAAAATAGGCATATGACATGCTGTATATTGACTGACATAATATCACTCACTGCATAAGGGGGAAATCCACATGCCCTGCTTGCTTGCCAGACTGCTGGAATAATCTCATTCTTCTTATGACATGTAGCACAGAGAATTTCAAGTATTCCATTTAACACAAGACATTTTGTCATAGTGCTTGGGGTCCTCTTAAACTGCGCTGGCCCCCAGGGCTCCATGCTCTCTTTGTCTAACCTTGCTCCATTGTAACTTGTGAGACCCAGCAGCCCCACTGACTTCCTGTTGAACATCCTTGGTTACTGGATAAAGAATCATCACTAGTCTAAGTACAATGGTGTCAATCCAGAGTAACACCGCTGACTTCAGCCATTTGGCCAGCTTTCGACCAGCATAAGAGCATAAGAGCACACTCTGGCCCAGTAGTGCTAATACAATGGGGCATGTGTGTAAAAGAAGAAGCCCAGCAACATACTTCAATATTCTGAGTCAAAGACTTGCGGCTCCTTTGCTATCCTTCATGAGAGGTAATTGGATTTAACCGGGTATTTATACAAAGTGTCAGGCTGCAGCATGTCATGGTTTGATCCTTGGGTAGAAATCTCACTCACAGTATTCTCAGCCACATTGAGGTTTGAAGGAAACCCCAGTTTTAATGGGACAGCCTGCGTCTTGCAAATTAGATATAAAAATGTAAGGGCCTGATCTGGCTGTCTTCCAATCCATGTAATTCCAGCAGAAACTGCTGCCACAATCCAAGCCACCTGGTACCTCCAGAGAGTGGTTTGAACTAGGGTAATGGAGGAGGGGGAAGAGGGAATAGCACAGCAGTGGGGGCATTCCCTCTCCATGCATAGGTGGGCCATAGGAGAGTTTGCTCCACAACACCACACTCCATACCTCCAAAGGTTTGTGTTCTGCATTGCTTCACTTTATAATCTGATAAACTTCTACAGGCTCCTCAAGATCCTCAGGTATCTCGGTCAAATCACCTAGTTCTAAAAAGTTTATTTTGGCTTGTAGATTTCTGAAGAGTCTAATTTAAGCTGCCTCAGTCAATGCAGCAAACTACAGAACTTAATTAGACTCACCTGTCTAATGTTGCATTTTCATGTCCTCTTAGCTTATCAATAACAGGTTGAATTCCCAGCATCAGAAACTCATATCGCAGGTGCAATCGGAATTCCAAATTGTCCTTACAGAAGGGGAGAAAAAAACAACTCAGACTCCAAAAGATTTTGGACAGATTCACTTAAAGGTAAATTCCTACTTTGAATATCACCTCTCCTGCTTTTAAAAGTTTACAGGTAGACTCACGTTCCCTGTTCCCACTCAGAATTTCTCTCAACAATCCTGACCTTCCATCAAAAAAAGCAAGTTCAAACTGGGCCTTCAGTCAGTGTGTCATTCTAGGCAGGGTGGTGCTACCATTAAGGAGAACTAGGCGGTTGCCTAGGGCGCCAAGATTTGGGGGCGCCAAAAAGCGGTGCCCCCAATTTTTTTTTTTACAGCGTTCCTCCCCGAGCGCGCAGTTACTACTTGACTTCTCCAGCCTCCCAGGCTTGCAGCGCCAATCAGCTGTTTGGCACTGCAAGCCTGGGAGGAGAATTAGAGCTGGGGCGGTGTGCTTGGGGAGGAGGCGGAGCAGAGGTGAGCTGGGGTGGGGAGGTGCCACACGGCTCCCCGGGCTGGGAGGGGTGGGGAGCTGCCGCGGGGGTGCCTCAGGGCGGGCGGGGAGCTGCCGCAGGGCTCCCCACCCCAGATCACCTCTGCTACGCCCCCTCCCTGAGCACGCCATCGCTGCTCCACTTCTCCGCCTCCCAGGCTTGCGGCACCAATCAGCCGTTTGGCGCCACAAGCCTGGGAGGGGAC